TTGCAGACCTGGTGGATGTGACCTCGATGAACCCGGAGCTGCCGCTCTCCGACCCCACCGTGTTCCAAAAACGTTACCTGAAAAAAATCCGGGAGCTGGGAGAGGTGGGGCGGGATGTTGGGATCATCTGGGGGATCCCAAAATTCCCCTTTGAGCTCCATCCCTCGAGGATTTCCCTCTCTGGATCCCAAAATCCCTCATTTCCATTCCCATTTCCTCTCTTTAACTCTTTCCCTGTTGATTTTCTCCCAATTTTATGATTTCCTACGGCTCCTCTGGGAAACCCAAAACAAATCCCAAAAATTTGAAAACGCCAAAATTAATCCCAAAAGTTCAGAAACCCCAAAACAAAATACAAAAATTTGGAAACGCCAAAATGAATCCCAAAAATTCAGAGACCCTGGACTGAATCTCAACAATTCAGAAACCCCAAAACGAATTCTGAAAATACCGAGACGCCGAAATGAATCCCAACAATTTGGAAACCCCAAATCCAATCCCGAAAATTCCAAAATCCCAAATTTCCCATTTTTAGGGTCACTTTGGGCGGGTGAGCCTGTGCTGCTACGACCCCGCCAACGACGGCACCGGGGAAATGGTGGCGGTGAAGGGTTGGGGTTAGGCTTAGGCTTAGGCTTAGGCTTAGGGTTAGGGTTAGGATTAGGGTTAGGGTTAGGATTAGGGTTAGGGTTAGGGTTAGGTTTGGGTTTAGGGTTAGGATTAAGGTTAGGGTTAGGATTAGCGTTAGGGTTAGGGTTAGGATTAAGTTTATGGTTAGGGTTAGGGTTAGGGTTTCCAAAAATTTGAAAACCGCACAATTAATCCCAGAAATTCAGAAACCATTAAACAAATTTCAAAAATTCAGAGCCCTTAAACTGAATCGCAACGATTCAGAAACCCTGAAACGAATCCCAACAACTCCCAAACCCCAAAAGGAATCCTAAGAATTCCAAAACCCCAGAAGGAACCCCCAAAATTCCCGTTTTTAGGGTCACTTTGGGCGGGTGAGCCTGTGCTGCTACGACCCCGCCAACGACGGCACCGGGGAAATGGTGGCGGTGAAGTCGCTCAAGTCCGGGGGGACCCCGACCCTGCTCAGCTCCTGGAGGAGAGAAATCCAAATCCTAAAAACGCTCTACCACCCCCACATCGTCAGATACAAGGGCTGCTGCAGCGAGCAGGGTATGGGGAATTTGTGGGACGGGGGTTTTGTGGGGTGGGTTTGGGGTTGGGTNGAAAAGGCAAAAAAAAGAAGGGAAAAAAGGGGGGAAAAGGGCAAAAATTCAAAGGCACAGTTCCTTTTGCAGACCTGGTGGATGTGACCTCGATGAACCCGGAGCTGCCGCTCTCCGACCCCACCGTGTTCCAAAAACGTTACCTGAAAAAAATCCGGGAGCTGGGAGAGGTGGGTCGGGATCATCTGGGGGATCCTGGTCCTGTCCTGACCCCAAAATTCCCGAGGATTTCCCTGCCTGGATCCCAAAATTCCCCCTTTGACCTCATTTCTCTGAGGATTTCTCCGTCCAGACCCCAAAATCCCCCATTTCCATCCCCATTTCCCTTCTTTAACTCTTTCCCTGTTGATTTTCCCCTCCTTCTCCCAAATTTATCGACCCCTACGGCTCCTCTGGGAAACCCAAAACGAATCCCAAAAATTCAGGAACCTCAGACCGAATCCCAAGAATTCTGAGACCCCGAAATGAATCCCAAAAATTCAGAAACCCCAAAATGAATCCCAGAAATACAGAGAGCTTGAAATGAATTCCAGAAATTGGGAAACCACAGCATTAGGGTTATGGTTAGGGTTAGGGTTTATGGTTAGGGTTAGGGTTTCTAAAAATTTGGAAACCCCAAAATTAATCCCAGAAATTCTGAATCCCCAAAACAAATCCCAATAATTTGGAAACCTCAGAATGATTCCCAAAAATTCATTGACCCCAAAACGAATTCTGAAATTTCAGAAACCCTGAACTGAATCCCAATGATTCAGAAACCCCGAAATGAAATCTGAAAATACCGAAAGCCCGAAACGAATCCCAACAATTCCCAAACCCCAAAACCAATCCTGAAAATTCCAAAACCCCAAATTCCCGTTTTTAGGGTCACTTTGGGCGGGTGAGCCTGTGCTGCTACGACCCCGCCAACGACGGCACCGGGGAAATGGTGGCGGTGAAGGGTTAGGGTTAGGCTTAGCCTTAGATTTAGGATTAGGGTTATGGTTAGGATTAKGGTTAGGGTTAGGGTTTCCAAAAATTTGGAAATCCCAAAATTAATCCCACAAATTCAGAGTCCCCGAAACGAATTTTAACAGTTTGGGAACCCCGAATGAATCCCAACCTTAAACGAATTTGGGCAATTCACAAATACCAAAATGAATCCCAAAAATTGCGAAACCCCAAATCGAATCCTGAAAATTCCAAAACCCCAAAATTTCCATTTTTAGGGCCATTTTGGGCGGGTGAGCCTGTGCTGCTACGACCCCACCAACGACGGCACCGGGGAAATGGTGGCGGTGAAGGTTTGGGGTTAGGCTTAGCCTTAGATTTAGGATTAGGGTTATGGTTAGGATTAGAGTTAGGGTTAGGGTTAGGGTTAGGTTTAGGATTAGGTTTAGGGTTAGGATTAGGGTTAGCATTAGCGTTAGGGTTAAGTTTAGGGTTAGGGTTAAGTTTAGGGTTAGGGTTAGGGTTTCCAAAAATTTGAAAACCCCACAATTAATCCCAAAAATTCAGAGATCCTGAACTGAATCCCAACGATTCAGAAACCCTGAAATGAATTCTGACAGTTCAGAAACCCTAAAGCAAATCCCGAAAATTCCAAAATCCTAAAATCAATCCTGAAAATTCCAAAAACCCCAAAATTCCCGTTTTTAGGGCCATTTTGGGCGGGTGAGCCTGTGCTGCTACGACCCCTCCAACGACGGCACCGGGGAAATGGTGGCGGTGAAGTCGCTCAAGTCCGGGGGGACCCCGACCCTGCTCAGCTCCTGGAGGAGAGAAATCCAAATCCTAAAAACGCTCTACCACCCCCACATCGTCAGATACAAGGGCTGCTGCAGCGAGCAGGGTATGGGGAATTTGTGGGGTGGGGGATTTGTGGGGTGGATTTGGGGTCGGGTTGTTGAGAGGTGAAAAAAATCCGGATGTTGGTGGGATTTTGGGGGAATTTTTGGGGATTTTNGAATTTGGGATTTTTCACTTGAACGGGTCCATTCCAGGGGGGATTTGGGGGTTTTTCACTCTCGGTTTTTCCTCTCAGGGGATGAGGTGGTGCAGCTCAGGGATTTTGGGATTTTTCTCATTCCCTTTGTGGGAATTTTGGGTTTTTTCTCATTCCTGTGAGGGTTTTTTGGGGTTTTTCTCATCCCTTGAGGGGATTTTGGGGTTTTTCACTCTCAGTTTTTCCTCTCAGGGGATGAGGTGGTGCAGTTGAAGGATTTTGGGGTTTTTCACTCTCATGGCTCCGTTTCAGGGGGGATTTTGGGGTTTTTCTCATTCCCTTGGTGGAAATTTTGGGGTTTTTCTCATTCCCTTTGAGGGAATTTTGGGGTTTTTCTCATTCCTTTGGTCCCTCAGGGGATACGGTGGTGCAGCTCAGGGATTTTGGGGTTTTTCTCATTCCCTTTGAGGGATTTTTGGGTTTTTTCACTCTCAGTTTTTTCTCTCAGGGGATAAGGTGGTGCAGCTGAGGGATTTTGGGGTTTTTTTCCTCGCAGGGGATAAGGTGGTGCAGTTGATCATGGAATACGTTCCCCTGGGAAGTCTCCGGGAATTTCTGCCCAAACACCCCCTGAGCCTCTCCCACCTCCTGCTCTTCGCGCAGCAAATCTGCGAGGTGAGCGAGGAACGGGGTGAACTAATAAAAAATGGGGTGAAATCCTGGAAAAATGGGGTGAAATCCCAAAAAAATGGGGTGGGATCCTGGAAAAATGGGTTGAAATCCTGGAAAATGGGGTGGGATCAAAAAAAAATGGGGTGAAATCATGAAAAATGGGGTGGGAACCTGGAAAATGGGGTGAGAACCCAAAAAAATGGGATGAAATCCTGGAAAAATGGGGTGAGATCCTGGAAAAATGGGGTGAAATCCCAAAAAAATGGGGTGAAATCCTGGAAAATGGGGTGGATCCTGAAAAATGGGGATGAATTGCCAAAAATGGGATTGAATTCCCAAAAAAATGGGGATAAACTCCCCCCAAAACCACCTCAAAACTCTCCCAAAAACACCCCAAAATTGCCCCAAAATGCCTTGAAATCACCCCAAATCTCCAAACTTCCCAAAAATAACTCGAAATTCCCCCAAAAATATCTCAAAATTTCCCCAAATCTCCTCCAAACTTCCCAAAAATAACTCGACTCCCCCAAAACACTTCAAAATTGCCCCAAAACACCTCCAAACTTCCCAAAACACCTGAAAACTGCCCCCAAAACACCTCAAAACTACCGCAAAACACCTCCAAATTCCCTGAAATTTCTAAAGTTCCCAAAAATAACACAAAACTCCCCCAAAAACACCTAAAAATTCCCCCAAAAACACCTCAAAATTGTCCCAAAACAACCTCCAAATGTCCCCAAATCTCCAAACTTCCCAAAAAAACCTCGAAATTCCCCCCCAAAATAGCTCAAAATGTCCTCAAATCTCTAAACTCCCCCAAAACCCCTCGAAATTCCCCCAAATCTCCAAACTTCCCAAAAATAACTCAAAAGTGTCCCAAAAACACCTCAAAACTCCCCCAAAACACCGTCCAAATTCCCCCCAAATGCCTCAAAACTCCCCCAAAACACTGTCCAAATTCCCCCAAAA